CCGCGCTGCCTCGCCGGCCGAAGGTCCGCGCTGCCTCGCCGGCCGAAGGTCCGCGCTGCCTCGCCGGCCGAAGGTCCGCGCTGCCTCGCCGGCCGGCTTCCTACCGTTCCCACGGCGCGCTCTCCGCGAGAGCCCCCTTGCGCCGGGGTGAATGCGGGTCTCGGTTCTGGGGCGACGGCGCAGAGCGCGGGGGACCCCGGGAAGGAGAGCGCCCGCATCTCGGGCATGGTCACGACACTGCTGCCGCCGGGGTCTGGCGCTCTGCTGGCCGCTGATGCACAGCGTAAGCCCATGTGCCTCCGTGAGAAGTGGGGTGTGCTCACCGTTGGGATTGGCACCGGCCTCGGTTAGCGCAGCGTCCGTGCGGCCGCGGGGCGCGTGGTCGTCAGAGTGTAATCCCGAGCACAGGCGCAGGGCGGCGCCCGTCCGCCGTCCGGTGCAGGCGCACTCTCCCCGCCCCTGATACTCCGAAGCCAAGCCCGGAAGAGTCCCTGCTGCGCGGAAGCGCTGCAGCCGCTTCGCTAAACACACCGCACGGATCGTGCGTTCGTTCTGTAGGTTGTCTCACGTTTGTCTCTTAGGTTGTGTCCTGCGCTGTGCAGAAGCCTTTTATCTCCACGTAGTCCCGGTGGTGGATTTTTGCTTTGGTTTCCCTTGCCTTTGAAGGACGTGTCTAGCAAGAGGTTGCTGCAGCCTAGGTCACAAAGGTTGCTGCCTGTGTTCTGTAGGATTTTGATGGATTCCTGTCTCACACTTAAGTCCTTAATTTATTTTGGGTTTATTTTCGTCTACGGTGAACAGAGTGGTCCAGGTTTCCCAACAACATTTGTGAAGAGACTTTTTCCCACTGGATAGTCTTGCTTCCTTTGTTGAACGAAGATTATAAAATTACGGGTTTATTTCTGGAATCTCTGTTCTGGTGACTTGCGTGTGTTTTTGTGCTAGTACCATATTGTTTTTAATTACTACAGTTTTGGAGTATAGCTTGAAATCTCAACACCTCCAAGTTTGTTCTTTTTCAAGGTTGCTTCTGTGCTTCCAAACAATTTTAGATTTTTTTTTTAAAGATTTTTTTTCAGGGCGCCTGGGTGGTTCAGTTGGTTGAGTGTCTGCCCTTGGCTCAGGTCATGATCCCAGGATCCTAGGATCGAGTTCCACATCGGGCTCCCTGCTCAGGGACGAGTCGGCTTCTCCCTCTGCCCCTCCTCCCACTCGTTCTCTCAATTGCTCTCAAATAAAATCTTTAAAAATGATTTTATTTGAGAGAGAGAGTGCACACATGCGTGCACAGCAAGGTGAGGTGGGAGCAGCAGAGGGAAAGGGAAAAGCAGACTCCCCGCTGAGCAGGGAGCCGGACAGAGGGCCCTATCCCAGGACCCTAAGATCATGACCTGAGCCTAAGGCAGACGCTTAACCGCTTAACCGACTGAGCCACCCAGGCGCCCCATAGGGGTTGCATTAGATGGGTAGATTGCCTTGGGTAGTATGGACATTTTAAGAATAATTTTCCCACTCCATGACCATGGAATGTGTATCATAATCAGTTTCTTTCGGCAGCGTTTTATAGTTTTCACAGTACAGGTCTTTCACCTCCTTGATTAAGTTTGTACCCAGGTATTTCATTATTTTTGGTGCAAGTATAAATGGGACTGTTTTCTTAATTTCTCCTTGCTTCTTCATTATAAGTGTATAGAAATGCAATGGTTTTTGTGTATTGATTGTTTTCTGGGACTTTACTGAATTCATTTATCAGTTCTCATGGTTTTCTGGTGGTGTCTTTAGAGTTTTCTCTATGTAGTGTCATATCTGCAAATAGTGAAAATTTCCTTCTTCCTTACCAATTTAGATGCCTTTATTTCTTCTTCTGTTCTGATTGCTGGGGCTAGGATTTCCTACGTTGAATAAAGGTGGTGAAAGTGGACATCCTTGTCTTGTTCATGACCTGAGGAGAAAAGCTCTCATTTTTTTCACCTTTGAGTGTGATGTTTGCTTTGGCTTTTTCATATATGGCCTTCATTATGTTGAGGTATGTTCCCTCTAAACCTTTGTCCAGGGTTTGTATCATGAATGGATGTTGTACTTTGTCAAGTACTTTTTCTGCATGTATTGAAATGATATAGTTGTTACCCTTTGTCCTGTTGATGTGAGGTATCACCTTGATTTGCAAATATCAAACCACACTTGCATCTGAGGGATAAATCCCACTTGATTATGATGCCTGCTTTTTAATATACTTGGATTCAGTTTGCTAATAATTTGTTAAGGATTTTTGCATCTATGTTCATCAGGGATATTGGCCGGTACTTCTTTTTTTGTGGGGTCTTTATCTGGTTTTAGTCTCAGGGTAATGCTGACCATCTAGATCTTCTCTGAAGAGATGTCTGTACATGACTTCCATTGGAAGCCTTCCTTCCTCTTCTTTTTTTTGGGGGGGGTGGTTGAGAAGAATAGGTGTTAGATTTTCTGTAAATGTTTGGTAGGGGTGTGTGGGTAGCTCAGTGGGTTAAGTGTCTGACTCTTGATTTCGGCTCACGTCATGATCTGAGCGTCCTGGGATGGAGCCCCAAGGCAGGATCTGAGCTCAGCCCAGAATCTCCTTGAGATTCTCTCTCTCTCTCTCTCCCTCTGCCCCACCTCACCTGCGCACATTCTCTCCCTCTCTAAAATAAACCTTTTTGAAAAAAAGATTTGGTAGAATTCACCAGTGAAGCCATCTGATCCTGGCTGGTTTGTTGGGAGTTTTGTTTTTTTTTTTTTTAATCACTGACTCAGTTTCATTGCTGGTAATTAATCTATTCTATTCTCTGTTTCTTCCTGATTTGGCTTTGGACAGTTATGTTTCTAGGAATTCATGCATTTCTTCTAGGTTGTCCAATTTGTTGGCATATAATTCTTCATTGTATTCTCTTATAATCCTTTGTATTTCTGTGGTGGTGTCAGTTATTTTTTTTCTTTCACTTCTTTGTGAGTCCCCCAACTGATTTTTATATATGTACTTAATTTTACTGCTTTTTAGCTTCCTCCTTTTCTTATTCTTACGGTTTTTCTTTTCCCCTAACAGGGTCCCCTTTATTATCATTTCTGGTAAGGCTGATTGAGTGGTGATGAATTCCTTTAACTTTTTTTTGTCTCAAACTTTTTATCCCCTTTTATCCTGAATGATAGCCTTTCTGGATAGAATATTGTGGGTTGCAGGGTTTTTTTATTTTAGCATTTGAACATATCTTGCCACTCCCTTCTGGACTACAGTTTCTGTTGAAAAATCAGCTGATAACTTTAGGGGGTTTCTGTTGTGTATACCTGTTTTCCTTCCATTACTTTTAAAATTCTCTTTATCTTGACTTTTGCCTTTTTAATTACTATGTGTCTTGGTGTAGATTCCCTTGGGTTTAAGAGGGTTCCCCTCTTTCTACATCCTCGCCAACACTTGTTTCTCGTTGTTGTTGATTTTAGCCATTCTGAGATGTGAAGCAATACATCACTGTGGTGTTTTTTTTTTCTTTAAAGATTTTATTTATTTGACAGAGAGGGGACACAAGCAGGGGGAGTGGGAGAGGGAAAAGCAGGCTTCCTACTGAGCAGGGAGCCCGATGTGGGGCTCGATCCCAGGACCCCGGGATCACGACCCAAGCCAAAGGCAGACACTTAACGACTGAGCCACCCTGGCGCCCCTCACTGTGGTTTTGATTTGCTTTTCCCTAATGACGAGTGATATTGAGCATTTTTTCATGTGTCTGTTGACCATCTAGAGATCTTCTCTGAAGAGATGTCTGTACATGTCTTCTGCCCATTTTTTAATTGGAGTATTTCTTTTGTTGGTGTTGAGTTGTGTAAGTATAATATTTTGGATACTAATCCTTTATCTGATATGTCATTTGCAAATACCTTTTCCCATTCAGTAGGTTGCCTTTTAGTTTTCTTGTTTCCTTCCCTGTGCAGAGCTGTTTTGATGTAGTCCCAATAGTTTATTTTTCTTCTATTTCCCTTGCCTCGTGAGAATAATGTTACTGAGGCGGCTGGGTGGCTCAGTCGTTGGGCATCTGCCTTCGGCTCGGGTCATGATCCCAGAGTCCTGGGATCGAGTCCCGCATCGGACTCCCTGCTCCACGGGAAGCCTGCTTCTCCCTCTCCTGCTCCCCCTGCTTGTGTTCCCTTTCTCGCTGAGTCTCTCTCTGTCAAATAAAATCTTTAAAATAAAAAAAAAAGAATGTTATACTACGATCAGTGTCAGAGAAATCACTGCCTCTGTGCTTTTCAAAGATTTTTAGGGTTTCAGATCTCACATTTAGGTCTTTAATCCATTTTGAGTTTATGTTTGTGTATGGTGAAGTAAAGTGTTCTGGGGGCACCTGGCTGGCTGTGAATAGAGCATGTGGCTCTTGATCTCAGGGTTGTGAGTTCAAGCCCCACGTTGGGTGTAGACATTACTTAAAAATAAAAGCTTTCAAAAATAATTTTTTAAAAATACAAACTAAGTAGAAGTACAAACTGATCAGTGTGTGTGTGTGTGTGTGTGTGTGTGTGTATTTTTTTTTAAAAAGTAATGTCTACACCCAACATGGGGCTTGAACTCACAACCTCCAGATCAAGAGCCCCATGCTCTATTGATTAAGCCAGCCAGATGCCCCAAAAATAAAATCTTTAAAAGAAATTTTAAAAAGTGGTCCAGTTTTCCCAACACCATTTGTTGAAGAGACTATCTTTTTCCCATTGTATATGCATTCCTCCTTTGTCAAAGATTGACTTTAACTGTGGGATGATTTCTGGATTTTCTGTTCCCTTCATAGATCTATGTCTATTTTTATGTAGTACCATACCATTTTAATTATTACCTTTTTTTTAGTTCTGTAAGTTTTTTAAAAATTTGTCGACCTCAGAGAGTCGGGGACCTGGGGCGGCGAAGGAACTGAGAAAAAGAGACGACAGTAGAGCGAGGCACAGGGGACCCCGAGCTAACAGCCCGAGGTGCCGAGGTTTATTTTCCATAATCTTATATACCTTCTACAGCGATACAGATCTATAATGATTTACAGCAGGGGCACGGTAAGGCACGTTTTTCCATGTACATAGGATTAGTCCACCGTGTATGATAAGAATCTTTAAAGCAAAACAAGGGAACAAAGAGGGGAATGCCCAGTGTGCGGCTTCCAGCTGGCCTCCTACCTACAAAACATCTTCCGCTGTGTACTTTAGAACAGACCACACACAGCCCAAGGGCATTTCACTCGGATCCTTTCGGGTTATTTTTAACCCTGCCATCTCGAGTTTTCTCAGAGATCTCGGAGTCTGAGCGAACATGCACCAGTGGTCGTTGTGGCGTTCTGTTTCCCACAAAAATTTTATTTTATTATGTTATGTTAGTCACGGTACAGTACATTAGTTTTTGATGTAGTGTTCCATGATTCATTGTTTTCGTGTAACAGCCAGTGCTCCACGCAATACATGCGCTACTTAATACCCATCACCAGGCTAACCCATCCCCCCACCCCTCCCCTCTAAAACCCTTAGTTTGTTTCTCAGAGTCCACAGTCTCTCATGGTTCATCTCTCCCT